GGGCAAGAAGGCTATAGCTTGCAAGTGAGTCTATAAGATAAACAAAGGGCAAATGGTTCCATTGAGAGGTTTAAAGCTAGACTTGTCATTTGTGGTGACAATCAACAAGAGGGGGTAGATTTCACTGAAACCTTCTCACCTGTAGTCAAGCTAACCACCATTAGGTGCTTACTTTTTGTTGCCATTAAAAGAAATTGGGTTGTATTTCAGTTGGATGTTAATAATGCGTTCTTACATACTTAGATGAGGAAGTGTATATGAAGGTTCCTCCTGGTCTCTTTGTTGCCTTCTGTCTCTTCTAGTTCTATACCTCATCTTGCTTGTAAACTTAAAAAGTCTCTTTATGGTCTTCGACAAGCTTCTGGACAATGATATGCTAAACTTTCTTCTGCTTTACAATCTAAAGGTTTCCATCCTGGTTTGAATAATTATTCTTTATTTAGAAAGTTTGATGGGAATAGTTTAACTGTGATGGCTGTATATGTGGATGACATTCTTATACTTGGGGATGATGTCTCTGAAATCAATGCACTAATGCAGTTTCTAGATGACCAGTTCAAGATTAAAGATCTAGGGGAAATTCACTATATTCTTGGACTTGAAGTTGTTAGACATTCTGATGGATTCTTGGTCAGTCAGCACAAATTTGTTTTGGATCTCGTGTCTAAGTTCAAGTGTTCAGATGTGAGCTCTGTGGTATGACCTCTTGATTTGTATGTCAAGCTTTCTGCTGGGGTTGGTGATTTACTTACTGATCCTTCCTTATATAGACGGCTGGTGGGTAAGTGAATTTCTTACAACATACCCGGTCTGACATTTCTTTCACGATTCAGCACTTGAGCTAATTTATGTCTGCTCCCAGATTGCCACATTTGGAAGCAGCCTATCATGTTCTTAGGTACTTATCTGGTACTTCTTCTTTGGGCCTGTTTTGGTCTAACTATTCTGGTTTTTCTCTCAAGGGGTACTGTGATTCTGATTGGGCAAGTTGTGCCGACTCTAGAAAGTCTGTTAGTAGATTTGTCCTATTTCCCGGTAGCTGCCCTGTGTCCCGGAAGTCTAAAAAGCAGTACTATTGCTCTTTCCTCTGCTGAAGTCGAATACAGGGCACTCTGATTACTCGTAGAAGAGGTGGTTTGGATTCTTCAGCTTCTTTCTGATCTTGGTATCACTACCTTGATGCCTGTTGATGTGTTTCATGACACCCAATCAGCTATACATATAGCCAAGAATTCGGTGTTTCATCAACGGACTAAACACGTTGAAGTTGATACTATTGAATTAGGAAGCCATATTATTTCTCTTCTCCCCCAAGCTTTAGGAAGCCAGTAAAGCCCCCACTCTTCAAGACCACTTGGGTAAGTAATTCCCCACTCATTTCCTTCACTTTTCCTTCATTAATTAGCAAGTTTCTAATCCTAAATCATGAAATCAAAGTAGAAATTAGGGGTTTTGGGTAGAGTTAGGGTTTTGAGAATTTTGGGTGATTCAACCTCAATTTGGGGTCGAATCTTAAAACAAATTATATATTTGGACTCGTGGGGTTATGGGTGACTAGGTTTTGGTCCGAGCCTTGTGTTTGGACCATGTGGGCCCGATGTCGAATTTTGGTATTTTTGGAAGAATGCTAGAAAATTCATATCTAGGCTATGGGATGTTGCCATTGAGTCTTTATTGATACTATTGAATTAATTATGCCTAGATATCATTGTTTCGGAGTCGGATTGTAGAGAAAAGGCGGTATTTGAGGATTGATTGCTATTCTTTGGACCGAGGTAAGTGTTTGATCTAACTTTGGCTTGAAGGAATATGATTAGAGTGTTATTATTTGCTAATTGCTAAATAATCGAGTACGGTGTATAGGCATGGTGACGAGTATCTATACACCGGTGTCTAGCATGACCGTGGGTCCTTGTATGTACTTATCCTGATATTGTTATGACTCTTCCATGTTAATTGATGAATTCTATACAATGTGAAGAGTATGAGAACTAATTATGAATTGTAAATTCTTTGGAGCGTTGGCTCGAACGATAAAAAGACTATTGAGTAAGAAATGAAAGAAATAGAAAGTGATATGATTAATCCCTTGCCGGGATGGTTTGAGTATATTGATTATATCCCTTGTCGGGATGTGAAAGTATTGTTGTTGCTCCCTTGCCGAGATTTGCTGTTAATTGAGTAATTCCCTTGCCGGGACATTTCTTATTATTTGTTTATCCCCTCGCCCCGTTTGGTTGTGATTACTGTTTGGGTGAGGAAGAGTGATAATGCACGAAGGGTCATTTCGTGCCATGTTTTGATTATATTTGCATGAAAGGTCATTCCGTGCCATGTTTTGATTATTTATGCACGAAGGGACATTCCGTGCTCTGATTTGATTATAATTGCACGAAGGATCATTCCGTGCCATGATATGAGAGTTATGTGAGGGAAAGCACGAAAGGTGATGTCGTGCACTTTATTTGATTGCTTTTGGTGAGAATGAGAGTAGAAGCACGAAGGTTGATGCCGTGCAACTGTTGATTTTCCTGTTCTCATTAATTATTGTTATTGCCCTATTTCGTACTTAAATTGTTGACTTTATATCCGGACTGTACTCCCCCATAGTATGCCCCCTCCCTCTTAACTGTTTAATTTCTTTGTTCTTTCCTTTTATTGCATATATATATATATATATCTGCACAGGTTGGTTTGGTGGTCCTGTCTAGCCTCGTCACTACTTCACCGGGGTTAGGCCAAGCACTTACCAGCACATGGGGTCGGTTGTGCTGATGCTATACTTCTGTGCTTTTTTGCACAGATCACGATACCAGAGCAGCTTTTGGACCACAGCAGTAGGATATTGATCGGGAGCTGACTTCAGTCCAGGGACTTACGAGGTAGCCTAGCTGGCGTCCGCAGGTCGGAGTCCCTTTCTATGTTTTCAGTTTGTTTCATTGTACCGAGACAGACACTTATGTATTTCCATTCAGACTTTTTTGTAGCACTCTTTAGTAGTTCGTGAGATAGCGACACCAGTCTTGGGTAGAGAAATGTTAAACTTCCGTATTTTGGGTTTTTCAGTTATCTGTGTTTTAAAGACTTCCGCTTTAATTTAAATGACTCGTTATATTTATATTGTTCTTGTTGAGGTAAAATCAGGAAATGTTTAAAAGGCTTGGCTTGCCTAGCTCTGACAGTAGGCGCCATCACGACCCCCGATGGTGGGAAATCCGGGTCGTGACATCTTACCTGTAANAGGTAGCCTAGCTGGCGTCCGCAGGCCGAAGTCCCTTTCTATGTTTTCAGTTTGTTTTCATTGTACCGAGACAGACATTTATGCATTTTCTATTCAGACTTGTTTGTAGCACTCTTTAGTAGTTCGTGAGATAGCGACTCCAGTCTTGGGTAGTGAAATATTAGACTTCCGCATTTTGGGTTTTCAGTTATTTATGTTTTAAAAGACTTCCGCATTTATTTAAAGACTCGTTATTTTATTATTGTTGTGTTGTTACCCGAAAATGTTTAAATGTTTGGCTTGCCTAGCTCCAACAGTAGGCGCCATCACGACTCTCGATGGTGGAAAATTCGGGTCGTGATAGTTTTGCAGTTTGAGCTTTTATACGACACTAACACTTTTTTTTTTCCCACCTCGTATTCATATCAGATTGGAACTTGATTAATTTGCATTCGCATTGAAAAGTTCCTTTTTAGAGATAAAGTCGTTTTTTACTGAAGGCGAATTCATTCCTATGTTCAAACTCGAAAATTTTAATTATAAATAAATAAGTAAAAATTATATTATTAATTGATATAAATATCGAATTCGGACAAATATGTACTGGTTGAGGGGCGTGGCGTCTGTGGATGCAATTTGTGAAAGGCAAAAAAAAAAAATGAACAGCCTTTGATAAGTGACTGTTTGACTTCTTCTGCTGATTATCTGTTTGTCACACGGTTTTATTTGTAGGGCAGCAACACCGTGCACGTTGTTTGACTCTTCCGATTCTCTTCAAATACTTTGTGATCTTAAATTAAAAATATGTATACAATAGCAATACTCCCTCCGGTCCAAAATAAGTGATTTTTTGACCTTTTTCTTGTGGTCCAAAATAAGTGATTTTTCCAGATTTCAAGAATAAATTAATTATTTTTTTCCTACATTGTCCTTGAAGTAAATGGTGTTGGAATATGTGTTAGGAGTGTTTATGTGTGATAGTAAAGGTTAATATGGTCAATTCCATTGCTAATTAATGCTAAAAGGTGGATTTCTTAATTTGTGTGAAAACATCCAAAAAATCACTTATTTTGGACCGGAGGGAGTAATTTTTATGATGTAGTTTGACTTGATATAGAATTTAAAGAAATTTAAAAAAACGTGATCCTAGTAAATGGAATTTAAATTTGTACATGCTTTGAAAATAAGTGTCAGTTCAACTCTTCAGGAGAAACAGAGCAAGGATGTAAAATTTACGGGTTTGAGATTTTAATCTTCTTATGGGATTCTACATTAATAAGTTTTACATATTTAATAAACTTTTTATAAAATAAATATAGAATTTGAAATAAAAATATTGCGTTCGGCCGAACCCATAACTTAAACTCTAGCTTCTCCCCTGGTTTAAGACTCTCTTCACCCTCTTTACCTGCCACTTGTAAATCAGGTTTGTTCGTATCCATGGGCAGAGGGAGGGTAGAACCTACAGGTTCGGTCGAACCTAGTAACTTTGGTCCAAACTATGTATTTTGTGTAAAAATAATCTTTGAATATGTACAAACTATTAATTTAGAACTCAGTAACAAAAAAGTTTAGAGTCTCGAATCCATAAGTTTCAAATTTATGCCCCACCTCTGTTTTGTATCCTTTGGTCCACAATAATAGTGCACCCCGGTACATTTTCCCTCACACCTCCAAGTAGTACCCTTCCCTTCAATTATCTATGCATTCAAATCTTGCTATAAATAGAACCCAAGATAACATCAGTTTGTTCATCCCTTAATTTCATAAGTATCATAACTAAACTTTGAACAAAAAAAGAAAACATGGGTTCTAAGGCATTTCTTTTTCTTGGCGTTTGTTTGGCTATTTTTTTCCTGATAAGCTCTGAGGTTGTAGCTGCGGAATTGGCTGAGACTTCCGACTGTAAGCATACTTTCATTTGCTCCCATTGTAATTTTATTCTTGCAAAAATGAAACTCTCTTCTCTCATTATTTTGTATAGGATTTAACTAATGCGACTCTTTAATAATTTTGTACGCATTGATGTATTTTAACATGTTGTAACATTCTTTAACCTTTCAAATTAGTGTTTATAGTAAAGCTTAATTTAATTCCCACATAGAGCTAGTCGTTGAGTTTCACTTTTGTATTTACTAACGCTATAGCTTGATCATAACTCTTATTATATACTCTCTATTTTATTTTATGTGTCTTAATTTGACTGGATACAAAGTCTAATTAAAAATATAAGTAAAACTTCTGAATCTTGAGATCTTAAACTAAAGTTTTATAAAAAAAAATATATACTAAGAATATCATTGGAATCTTATAGTATTTGATGATAGGCTATAATTGAATATTTTAGTCGCTTATTACACTCGAATTTACTGCACTTTAATTGAGTTTGCGCTTTAATCGCTAGTGTTTTGCACTAATTGTGTGTTTTATGCCTTGTAGGTGTGATTCCGAGCTATACAGATGTTATGGAATGAATTTAAGTGATTTGAAGCTTTGAAGTCTGAGTAAAAGCTCAAGGAATTAAGCCGGGATCGTCTTCGGGGGTCAAATTTGATAATTAAGTACGAACAAAGACTTGAGGAGGCATATTGCGCACTGTCTAGTAAAATAGACATAACTTTTTTCTCAGAACTCCATTTGGGCTCCACAATATATGGTTGGAAAGCTAACTCAAAGAGCTACAACTTTCATGTTTTACGTTTTTCCAAATTCCAAACGGAACAGGGTGAAACACCACGGTTTTGCCGCGACCGCGGCAGAACAGCGGTAGAAGATGGTCGCGGACAACTGAAGAATCAGAGGACATGTTTGGCCGCGGTTCCACCGCGACCGCGGCAAAACCGCGGCAGGAAGCGAAAATTTCAGGGACTAAAGTGCAAAATATGGGATTTTAAGTCCTAAACCCTATATTAAACAAAGGAGGCCGGCCAAGAACAAAGGAGGACATATTTTGGACACAAATTAGACCTAAGGAGGCGGAGAGACACTACTTTAGGGTTAGACAACACCCTTGGAGGCAAGAACACATTGGGAGCAAGGCGGAGAATTCTTCTACGACTTTTTTTTCCTTCCTCTTCCTATTTTTAATTGTTGGTTATGACTTTTAGTATTGTAGTTTTACATGCTATTATGAATAGCTAATTTGTTATCTAGAGTTTTGATAGAACCTTTTGTAGGATAAATTCTTGTTATGTTTTTATATAATTGAGCCATAGCTTTTCTCTATTTGTTCAACTACGTTTATATTCTGGTTGATTGAAGAGCTCTCAATTAGCTGTGCCTATTTAGTATGCATAACTCGGGAGAGAGTGCATATTTAGGTAATTGTTGAACAACACCACTCCCAGAGTATATGAGGGATCAATAACCGAGGGTTTAAAGGCGGGATTAGGGATAACGAAGCCTTGGGTGCGATCTGAAGTGAGCTGTATTAAAAGCCAGCTAGCGTAGCTTGGGAGAGTGCGTCTAGTAAATTGTCGTAATTACTCGGGAGTGATTTACGGTAATAAGAGTGCTCATGATCGATAGAGAATACTTAGGCGAAATTATAGAAGACATAGCGGGAAGGATTCCGACAATAGGGGAAATCATAACTCTAGACCTCCTTAATCTTTTCTCTAACCCTCAGTATCGTTAGTTGTTAATTTACTATTTTAATTTGTTAGTTAATTAGTTAAACAGAAGAATCTTAATATCTATAAGTTAGGAATTGTTCAAGCTTGTCTTCTTGGTGATAATGAACAGTTGTAGCTAAACCTTAGTTCTCTGTGGGATTCGACTCCGGACTTGTAAACCGGATTATATTTGCAGCGACCGCATTGTCCTTTTTATAAGGCATAGTTGGGCGTGATCAGTATTAAACAAGTCTTGTATAAGAAGAGTTATAAAGGATAAAAATGAGAATGGTGGAACTTAAAACTTATTTGTTGAGTAAATATAGAAAGAGGTATTTCAAAGTGTTTGGACATGAATACAACTCGGAGCTGTTTTTAATTTTTGTGAATGATTTAATGTGAAAATTTTAAAAAAAATGACTTTTTCGATTTTTTGAAATATTTTGAAATTCAATTCAAGTGAAATTTGAAAATTTCATGGCTAAACACTGATTTCGGAAAAAAAGGTAAATTTTTTTATGGCCAAACGTACCGTGTTTTAATTTTCACAATTGATGCAGCAATGAAATTGGATAACGGGAATGAAGTACACGTTGACGGACGTGGCGGATACAATGGTGTTGGCAGTGATGGATATAAACGTAGAGGATGCCGCTATGGTTGCTGCAGGAAAGGTTACTATGGTTGCAAAAGGTGTTGCTCCTATGCAGGTGAGGCCATGGATAAAGTCACTGAAGCTCAGCCTCACAACTGATCATTATGTGTAATATATAACGAGTTCAAGTTATATATATCGTTAGTGTATGTACGTTGTGACAATTTGTAATAATCTTGCTACTTTAGACCTTGCTTGTAACAAGTATGAATAAAGCCATTCGGTTCTTATGGATGGTTGGTCATGTAATGTTTTGTTGTACAATATATTGTGATAATATGTTTCCATATTGTTTATTTTCTTCATATTTTAGAGTAAAGGTTTTCTTCTATTTTATGAATCCTACAATTCTCTAAACATCCAAACCACTCTAAATTATCAAAAAGGGAGAAATAAGCAGATTCACTATTTAATTATGGAGAATAATTAGAAAAAAGCTAGGAGTATATTAGACGGCGCAATCATATTTATTTACAGTTTCTTCTAGAAAATCTATCAAATTGAGCAACAAAAGTTTCATGTACTTTAGTTAGTGTCTGTTCCTGAAACTTTTCTCCAAGTTGTCTTTATAATATATTTTGATTTTCTATTATAACTAAATTAGAATGGCAAGACTTACGTGATGTTCCAAAATTGAGTATTATCCTCGTGAAAGCTGACATCTCTCTCTCTCTCAATGAGAATTTTACTTAGGGGTTGCTAGAATGGGATTAGGCTAAATTAACCATCTCAAAGTTTAGTTGGGTATCGAGATGAGTTAAATAATGAGTAATAACTTAAATAGCCATCCGCTCATAAATAGCCAACAGTATAATTAATGTATAATATATGAGTATTGGCTAGGAACTATAAATATTTTTAACCGAGTGGCAAAATATACTTCCCTCTTAAAAAAATAATGAGTGATAGCCTAACCCATCCAACTCTAACCAAATTTTAGTTTCTTTATTTGTTTTCTTATAACTTGTTTGATTATAAAACAAAACTAATTAAAAAATAATCTTTGTTATAAGTATCTAACATATCAAACAAAAAATATTATTATTTAATATTTTGACAATTAGACCAAATTAGCTCAACTTTTACTACAAGTCTTTTAGACAGGTTAATTTGGGTTATTATGCCCGGCCTGGACTAATTTTGATACTCATAATGTTATGGAAAAATAACACTCTATAGCCACGGTAAAAATAATAGCTAAAGAAATGTATAAAAATTGTATATTTTGTATATATGCATATTCTGTATGTTATTTAAAAAAAATTATACAATAATGTACGTTTGGTCCACACAATAATGTACATTTTCCCCACACGTCCTAGTATACCCTTCCCTTCAATTATTTATGCATTCAAATCTTACTATTGTCACGGCCCAAAATACCTCCGAAAGAGTCATGATGGCACCTAGTTTTTAAATTAGGTAAGCCCAACATTTACGGAAATAACATTGATATTCACTAACTTCAAATTAGATAAATCTGAACAAATACAATTCCCAAAACCGGTTGTACAAGTCATAAGCCTTTGTAGGAGCAGTTATACATAATAAATACATCACTGTTCCAGATCAAAAAGGAACAAATGGAAATGAGTACGAATGAAGGTGACTCCGAGTCCTGCAAACGCAGCAGCAGGTTTACCTTGAGTCTCCACCGCGACGATCCGCACAGCTACTACCGATCAAATACCTGGATCTGTACAAAAAAATATACAGAAGTGTAGTATGAGCACACCACAGCGGTGCCCAGTAAGTATCAAGACTAACCTCGGTGGGGTAGTGACGAGGAACAGTCAAGATTACCTACTAGTCAAATAAATCGAACAGGATATGATAATGAACTACCAAGATAAAGATAACAAAGCAATATCAATAGCAGGGAAAAATCAAACTATAGACTGTAGAGACAATAAAGGGGAACACAGATAGTAATGAACGATAACCAAGTAAATTAACACCAACATAACTGGACACAGACAAGCAAGAATATGTTTAGACAAAGAAGGCGATGTCAACTCAATCAATCACATCATTTCTAATACACAATCCCGACCATCTCAATCACCGGTGTCTCATATCATAACCTCAATTTTCCAAACCTTTAGCACACACGACACTTTGTGCCTACATATTTCTATCTCACTTTGCACAACGTCATCCTCACGCTACTCAGTACATAGGGTCCATAACCAATGCAATTAAGATGTTCAAGGAGTCTCATTTATATAACATAAAGTAGATTACAGCTTCTAAACCAATTAGGAAATCAGCAAGAAAAGATGAAGTTATTTGCCGAAATCATTTGAGTAATGAAAATACCCTTTCCAAATAAAATACAACATCGAATGAACTATTACATTTAATATAGGATTTAACAAATTAAAACTTAGTAGAAATTCCTTTTTAAGTAAGATTCAATATCATCGGGTTAAAGAAATTTAATTGAGAAACTAATTGAAATAAAACATAACATTTATAGGAATCTGAATTATTGAAAGGTGTATATATACACGGCGAGTTCAAATTTAAAAGTCATATATAGCAGCGTAATACTAATTTCTTTATTTTAAATCATGATATTACTAATAACTTAACAGGACAGGAGGAAATGATTCAACGTAGTACATTTACTGTAAAAATTAATTCATCAGAGTAATAGTTTCAGGGAAGGAATTCAAGGAGCAACGACAAGTCAACAACTCAATGCAAATAACCCGATCCTCACAACTCAATGAAGCCCGAAATACAATTATCAAAGCCTTAAACAAATGAACTAGGGTCTTCTCAGTATTCAGCTATAACCAAACCCTAAATGAAATATAAAACCACCGAATAACTTGTACAGTCAAAGAGAAATACATAAGCATATATATATATATATATATATATATATATATATATATATATATATNATATATATATATATATATATATATATATATATATATATATATATATATATATATATATATATATATATATATATATATATATATATATTGATGCGACGCGCATCCCGATCCCGCCAATCCTCCCTTATTCCTCCGAAACAATTACAATCAAAAGTAAATAGTATATATTTGTAGCGGCGTGCAACCCGATCCCACCAATCCTCCCTTATTCCTCCTTAACAATTACCATAAGAGTAAATAGTGTATATATTACCATATCAGTAACAACATGATCATTCACCCTTATTACTCCTTGTTGCGGTGTGCAACCCGATCCCACCAGTCCGCCCTTATTACTCCTCAATATATATGACCCTTATTCCTCCCGTTGCAGCGTGCAACGCGATACCACCTGTCCACCCTTATTACTCCTTGTTGCAGCGTGCAATCCGATCCCACCAGACAACATCAATTATCCCTTATTCCTCCTCAACATATCAACAACCAGACATAGTTCAAAATTAACAACAACAACAACAACAATTCAACAACCCAATTACAAGGGTCTCTACCACCAAGAGTATGAGTACACGACAATAAGAGAATCACGGAAAAACCAAGAAGCACAACAACCTTTACAAAATAACAAGACATATAAGGCACGTGATAACTACACCGGCAACCACAACAATTGGGACACATATCATGTATACACGGGGTCATAGAGGAATTCACAATTTAAGAAATAACAAAACAATAAGGAGGACAATCACTTCAATTAAGGAAATTAAGGGCAAAGTAACAAGTAAGGATTAGAGGAAAGCTAACAACATCGTATGGAGCATATAAAGGTCAAACAAACAATTAGGAGACCCAATCATATCGGAAAACTTCCCACTTAATGAACATAAGGACCTAAGAACCCTAAAGGCAAACTCTCCACAAATAAGTCCGAGCACACACTCGTCACCTCGCATGCACATTACTACAATTAGCATGGAAGACTCAAATCCTAAGGGGGAGTCCCCCACACAAGGTTAGGCAGGATACTTACCTCAATCTGGCCAATTGAATACTCAATTTGTCTTTCCCTTTACTAATTCATCAAGGCTCGACTCAATCTAGCCAAAAACGACTTGAATACATCAAACAATGCAAGATAAAACAAATTCAATCATGTGACGACCCAAAGGGTCATCACCTATTTTTAATTGAATTCTATGACTCCGAGGCCTTGAAAACCTCATTCAGAGTCACCTCGATTTGCATGCGCAGTCCGGGCGCGTAGCCAGAAAGCTTAAATGAGAAATTCTGTGAAAAATGCTAAGTTTTGATGTTAAAATAAATAAATTTGATCTTGGTCAACGTTTTGGGTAAACGGATCCGGACCCGTGATTTGACAATCCCGGAGGGTCCGTAGGAAAATATGGGACCTGGGCGTATGCCCGGAATCGAATTCCGAGGTCTCAAGCCCGAAAAATGATTTTTTTTGTAAAATTGTTTTCTGAAATTGTTTAAGGAAATTTGAAATGAAAATTGATTAGAACGTGTTGGTATCGGGCCCATATTTTGGTTCTGGCGCCCGGTATAGGTCTTATGTATGGTTTAAGTCATTACTGTGAAATTTGGTTGAAAACGAACGTCGTGTGACGTGATTCGGACCTAAATTGAAAATTTTTGATGTTTTATGAAGTTTGAAAGAATTCTTGGATTTTGAAGTTTAATTCGATGTTTATAATGTTATTTTGGCGATTTGATCGCGAGAATAAGTCCGTAGGATATTTTTGAGGTTGTGTGTATATTTGGTTTGGAGCCCCGAGGGCTCGGGTGAGTTTTGGATAGGCCACAGGGGTTGCATTTTTTAACTTAAAAATTTGCTGGTGTGATTCAGGTCTGCAGGCTTCGCAAATGCGAAGCCTTGCTCGCAAATGCGAGACTTCCATCGCAAATGCGAAGATGGGACCTGGGCAGGCCTGATCACAAATGCGACTTTTGTTTCGCATATGCGAAGGTCCAGAAATTTCAAAGGATTCGCAAATGCTAACCCTGTTTCGCAAATGCGAACACTGTTTAGCATTCCCACATCTGCAGAGGTCGGGGTTCGCAATTGCGAACCCCTATTCGCATTTCCCATATCAGAGACCTGCAATTTTACACTTAAACGGTTTTGAACCCCATTTTTGATATTTTCTCAAACCCAAACACACTTAGGCGATTTTTCAAGCACAAGTCTTCTTCCAAATCAATTGTAAGTTAGTTTTTACTCATTTAATTCAATCATTAACATCTTTTAAGATGTTTTCAACCTAAAATCAAAGATTTTCATGGGGGAAATTGGGTGTTTTGGGTAGAACCTACGTTTTCAAAAATTGGGGATTTGGACCTCAATTTGATGTCCG